GCCCTAAATTCTTAAGTTTGCATCTCTTAAGGACAAAAGCATTTTCCTACATAAATAACAGTACTACACTCAGTAAATTAAACATTAATACAATATTATCTGTTATATGCCCTTATTGAATATCCCCAGTTGTCCTTTATAGCTGTTTTTTATTCTGATGCCACATGCGATCAATTCCGTGCACTCAGTCGAGTTACCTCTCTTACATCTCTTTATTCTCCTTTTATCTATAATAATCCCACAGCCGTTTAAAAATTTTTCATGACATTGATATTTTGAGGAGTTCAGGCCAGTGGTTTTGCAGAAAGTCCCTGAATTTGGATTTCTCTGGTGGTTTTTTCTTGTGTAGTTTCAGGTTAAACATGTTTGGGGGCAGGAAGATGACCTAGATGTTATTATGACCTTCTCAGAGCAAATATTAGGGGGACATGATACCGGGCACCTGATTATTGGAGGGGTTGATGCTAATGACATGGTTCAGATGGTTTCTCACAGGGGCAACTGGGTGGCTCAGTGGGTTCAATGTCTGCCTTCAGCTTAGGTCATCATCTCAGGGTCCTGGGATCGAGCCCCACATCAGGCTCCCTGCTTGGCGGGGAGTCTGCTTCTCTCTCTCTCTCCTCTGTCTCTAGTTTGCTCTCTCTCAAGTTGATAAATAAAATCTTTAAAAAATAACAAGATGGCGTCTCACAGATTTCTGTGTTGTCAGGGTACCTTTCCTCTTCCTGATAAGTCATCTGTGGGCAGAGATTTGAAGACTGTGTATGTTCTATTCCCTCACAACCTTTCGCCTGCTGGTGATTAGCACCCACTCAGCATTCTCGCTTATACCAGTTCTACACCATGCTGGAGGGGTTCTGTACCCCATGCAGATTAGAAAGGCGAAGCTCAAAGGGGGAGGTGGGGCTCACACAGTGGCCGGCCTCCTGTGACCATGTCATCATTAGAACCTCCTGAATTATATCACAATGACTTATCTTTTATAAACCAGTCATTCTTTGCCCCTCCCCCCATATATGTGGCAGACATCTGTTTAAAGAATCACTGGTTTCTATTATTCTCATCAGCTTCTGTTTTAGGTTGAATTCCCTCGATGCAGAGCCCTGTGCTGTGATTTACTGAGATAGGGTCTCAGGAGCAGCCTGGGAAAGGGTGAGCAGGGCCATCTGGGATGAGTAGGAAACCAGGCAGAGATCCGGGGGCAGCCGGAGGGTAACCTCAGCCTGATCCCACAGGGAATTCTGCCACATGACTAGCACCCGGGGGTTGTCTCACCTTCAGGTAAGAGGGCCGTTTCTCTATGCCCTGTCTCAGTAAGTCATTAGTGCATCTGCTCCCAGGGGAGCACAGAACTTTCCGGGTATGCGCAGGACAAGGGGGCAGCCAGCACCCACGGCAGCGGGGGCACAGGTCCCCAGTCTAGTAAAAGGGAACTGGGCAGGGCACCAACAGCATCCAATACAGATTCATTTCCCTCATTCGTTCTTTCCTGAAGGTTGTCTCTAAGACAAGCCAGTCTGTCTTTTTTCATTCTTTCTTTCAACCTATCTTATAATAATATACTACCAACCTCAAATGTCTGATGGTGAAAGAAATGCATTAGCTTAGTCATTTGCAAAGACAAAATCTAATTTATGGTTGCTCCTTGATGAAGCCCCATGAATCTCATTCACTGTCTTCCTGTCTGGGCCCGGGGTTTTCAGGCTGAGGCTGGTTGTCAGGACAAAGACTCTTTACCTCTTGAACAGCTGAGGTTGTTCAAGGATGTGCCCGTCTCAGGAAGGAAGAAGTGTCCACATATTAATCACCGCCCACGTGAATGTTAGGATTGGTGTGTTAGAGATGGTAAAATTTGCTCTTGGTAAAATAGCACCAGGCTGAGATGGCAGGAATGGAGGGTTTACTTAGGTCTGGAGAATTCTTTCCGGGGCATGTTACCACCGTGCACCACCCCCCCGCAAAAAACCACCCCACCTCATTGGTTCTGAGTTCAAGAGCACATTTTGCTCTTCGATCTTAAGCAGATGCTCCCCAGACTGCTGCATCAGCGTCTCCTGGAACTTGTTAGAAATGCAGGGCCCCACCCCAGGACTGCGGAATCAGACCCTCTGGGGCTGAAACCAGGAATCTGCAGCTTAACAAACCCCAGGAGATTTCTGTGTGGCTCAACTGCCAATCCAAGGCCGTGGTTGTAAACTTGGCTGCAAGTTGGAATTGCCTGGGGAAATTTGTAAAATTCTGATGCCTGCATCCCGCCCCAAAAAGTGTCTGATTTATTTGATCTAGGGTGCAGTCTGGCCATCAAAACATGTTTAAGCTCCAGGCAGTTTTTATGGGCAGCCAGCGTTGAGAATCACTGCTCTCAAGTTGCCTCGTTTGCCTCATGGGAAAGGAATTTTAACAGCAGCTTCGTTTTGAAGAGTGCGTTCTTATAGCTGCAAAGATTCACTTCAGAATACCTGGAGGCCCGGGGCAGGGGGCAGGGGGCGGGGGGCATTTGCAGAAGGAAAAACTGCTCTTTTTTAGCTCAGACGCTCCCATCTGGAAAGTGGTAGCAAAAGGTAAACTTTAAGGGGAAACAAATGTAAATCTTGAATGGAAGCATGAGATTCTTCAGATCTGTACAAAGTCAAGAATGTGCAGGGAAGACGTCGGGACAGGGGTCTCTGGCCAGCCGGTGCACTTATCCTTGTGGGAGTTGATACTGAGCCTGCTTCCCCCAAAACAATCGATTGCCTTAGGTTGGCTTCTTCTGTATTCAGTCCCACCTCTTAGGAGTAGAGTGGTACACAGGGGAAGAGCACACCTTTTTTTTTTTTTTTACATTTTTCCCACTCTTGCTACAGTTTGTCTTTATCATCATTCGCAATGATGAAAACTTCATTCAGGCCACACATTTGGGTTTCTTGGGGTTTAGCTGTTTGAAAACCATTAGAACCCTAAGCTGAACTTGCCCCTTCAAATGGGAGTGATCAGATCTGATGTTTTTCACTGGCCACTCCAAGACGGGGATAGATGACCAGCTCACTGAGACCCAGGGCATGGGAGAGGGATAGAGACACTAGAACCAAGCACTCTTGGGTTGGAATTCCTACCTGCTCACTCTTACCAGAGGCATGTCTTTGCCTTGAGCAAGTTACTTAAACAGTCTGGACTTCCCGATCCACCACCGAACCCACCCTGCCTTTTTTTTTTTTAAAACACTGGATTCCTGATACCTGCCTTTGGGGGCTGTTTTCAAGGAAATGAGAGAATGTTTGCCAAGGGCCTGGCACACAACAGACAGCACATAGATACAAGCTCGCCTGTGTTCATGATCTTACTTGTTACCTGCAGAGTTGGAGGAACACCAGACCTCTTGAATTTCTAGCTCTGCCATTTCATGAGTGTTTATAATTCTGGGCAGCCCGATACCTTCTTGGGCCCCAGTTTTCTCATTCATAAAAAAGGAATTGCATACTCAGTCACAAGGTTAGTTTTGGCACCAAAGGCAGCTATGGAAATCCATAAGACTTTTTTTTTTACATTTTTTTTAATTTTTATTTATTTTTTTTTAAGATTTTATTTATTTATTTGACAGAGGGAGATCACAAGTAGACAGAGAGGCAGGCAGAGAGAGGGAGGGAAGCAGGCTCCCTGCTGAGCAGAGAGCCCGATGTGGGACTCAATCCCAGGACCCTGAGATCATGACCTGAGCCGAAGGCAGCGGCTTAAACCACTGAGCCACCCAGGCGCCCCCTTTTTTTTTTTTTAAGATTTTATACATTTCTTTTAAAGATTTTATTTATTTATTTGACAGACGGAGATCACAAGTAGGCAGAGAAGCAGGCAGAGAGAGAGGAGGAAGCAGGCTCCCTGCTGAGCAGAGAGCCTGATGCGGGGGCTCGATCCCAGGACCCTGAGATCATGACCTGAGCCGAAGGCAGAGGCTTTAACCCACTGAGCCACCCAGGCGCCCCAATAAGACGTTTTTTAATTGAGATGTCATTCACACAGCATACCTTAAACTGTATAATTCATTGTTTTTCAGCACATTCACAGAGTTGTACAGCCATCACCACGTCTCCATCCAGAACATTCTCTTTACCTCAAAAAGGAAATCTATTCTGATTAGCAACCAGTACCCATCCCGCCCCTGCCCCCAGTCCCAGCAACCATTAATCTTTCTGTTTCTCTCTTGGTGTCTAGTTTAAATATTTTATATAAGTGGAATCACACAATATTTGTGTCTAGCTGCTTCCACTTAGCATGAAGTCGTCACAGTTCATGCCGTTTTGGAGTGTGGATCAGTACTCCATTCATAAACAGAATGAATGAATATTATGACTGAATAAAATTCCATTGTATGGGTAGACCACATTTTATTTGTCCATTCATTAGGTGATGGAAGTTTGGGCTGTTTCCACTTTATGGGAATAATGAACTCATGTTAGTATGATTTTATAATAGCACAGCGTTATTCAACTGTGAGGTTTTATTACAAATAATGGTAGTAACAAAAGTGCCTCGATGTGTGAAAAGAAATGAAATCCAGTTTATGTGGGTACAAAATGAGTGTGCATGAATGAGTGTGAATGTTTTGTTTTCACTTTTTGAGCATGCCACGGTGGTGCCCATGATATATGCTTTGGAGCCCTAGAACCTCATGCTACCCTATGGAACATAGCATTTAGGGCTCTTTGCTCAAATTGTGAAATGGTTTATGCCAGAAGACAGACTCGACAGAATTCAGAATGTTTAGAACCTTTTGAAAACTGGGTTAGAAATAGAAGGTCTGTTGGGTCTGTCAAATATTCTGTTTAATGGTATAGATATGGAGTGAGAGCTGATATGACGCCTTCCTCCAGAAAGCTTTCAGGCTAGAGGGGAAGACAAGCGAGGTGGGAATGAAAGAGGGAGTATGTGCTAGGACAGGTCAAGCCTAGAGACTGTAGGACGGTCTCCTTGTCAGAGAAATGGGGCTGCGGCCATTTGACCCCTGCCAATTCTCTTTCTCCTAGCATGGTAAGACACAAGGATGATGGCTATTCCGAAGAAAAGGATGTGAAGACCTGTCCGCGGGACTCTGGCTATGATAGCCTCTCCAACAGGCTCAGCATTTTGGACCGGCTTCTCCACACCCACCCAATATGGCTGCAGCTGAGTCTGAGTGAGGAGGAAGCAGCACAAATCCTCCAGTCCCAGCCTCCAGGGGTAAGACTCAGAATCTCAGGGAAACAGGTTGAGACAGGCAGGGCTGCTGCTTTCTTCAAGAGAAAGACCTGGAGTTCCAGAAAGTTCTTCCTAGGCTGTAGGGAGCAAGCATTCCAGTGTGCACCTGGGTCGCAGTGCAAGGGGATTGTGGGATGTATGGAGGCAGCCCTGAGGAAAAGAGCCCTTCACAATTTGTCTTTCTGTCTTCATCAACTCAGTTACAGAGGGAGGTCCAGGACTGGGCAGGGTGACAGAGCATTTGGGTAATGAGGAGGGCCCCTGGCTGGAGGCCCTGGGCTAACTTCTTGGGCCTCAACACTGAGGATGAACCTGGTTTTGGGGTCCTCAGCTGCCCCTATTGTTTTCATCTGAGCCTGGAAGCCCTGCCAGGGCTTAGCCATCCAACTTGGGACTTCAAAAGTTCCAAAGTTCTGTGTCCATAGGCTTGTCTGCTCTGGTTGCTGATGTAATCCTGTTTCTCTTGGGTTTCCTCAGTGACTTCCCACAGGGCTCACGGCCCAGTTATGTTTCTTCAGCTACTGTCTACCCAACACCAGTCTCTTAATCAAGACCACTCCACGACTCTATTAGAGGTTCCTCAAAAAATGTCATTCAGTGGTTGGTGTCCTGTGCTGTTCAGTATGGTAGGCACTTGCCCTGTGTGGCTATTTAAATTTGCATTAATTAAATTAAATTAGAAATTCAGCTCCTCAGTTGCACTAGCCACATTTGAAGTGCTCACTAGCCACAGACAGCTGGAGGCTACCCCATAGGATGATGGTGTGGAGTATAAAATGTTTCCAACACAGGAAGTTGTATTGGACAGTGCTTATGCACCATATCTACTTCCCAAGAAAGGATAAATACAATAAATCACAGATAAAGTGAGACTTGGAACAACTCATGACAAGAGATAGAAACTAAGAAAAAATGGAGAAGCAAGGGAGAAAAGGGGCGGGGGGGGGGGACCTCCATCATAGCCAGCTGAGAATGTTGTGGCAATTGGGCACAAAAATAAACTTTCTTGAGTTTCCTATCAGCCAGAGCCTCTCTGTTATCATTTTTTGACTTATAAGTGAGTCTTTGTTTCTCATCAGACAGAAACAGACGGGACTGAGACTAATGTTGGAACCTGCTCAGGGTGACTAGGTGCACTATTTGATCATCTTTGTGGAAAATTCCTTGGCCAACATGCCAGGTTGTTGGCTCTAGTCTGGGTCTGTATGATCAGGACCCATGTCTATGGGGCCCCCACTTTTTGGAGGTCAAGTTGTCGGCTCCTGCATTTCTGCACAAACGTTCTGAAGAGGGAGGTCACCCTGTTGCTAAGCAACAGTTCCCTTCCCTTCCTGGCTTCCCTCCCAGTGTGTGGCGCGTCCATTCCTGCTGAGACCTGTGGGGAACAAGTCAGGCAGAATGTTCTGTCTGTCTACCTACTTGATCCCTGGACAGACCTGCCTGACGAGGTAGGGCAAGCTGAGGGCAGGCGGAGGGCAGGTGGAGGAAGGGAGCAGCATGGGTCAGAATAGGCCAGAGTGCCCCAGAAGCAAGAATGCTGAAGAGAAGGAAAAGCAGGTGTGAGAGGAAGGAAGATTTCAAAATCCTGCCATGGTATCATGGGTCCTTAATCCTCTCCATCCTAGGACAGGAATTGGCAGACTTTCTATAGAAGGCCAAAGTGTAAATATTTTTGGCTTTGTGGGCCATAGAATCTGTCAGAACCTCTCAGCTCTGCCTCATAGTGCAGCTGCAACCACAGACAGCATCTAAGTGAAGGAGTGTGGCTTTGTTTCAATAAAGCTTTATTTATAAAAACAGGCCGCAGGATAGATTTGGTCTACAGGCCCGACTATAACAATCTCTGTTCTAAAAAGCTGCAGACATTCAGGAAATGAGACTTTACTCTCCCTGACCCCCCGGTTTCAGGGAGACCCCCACCTGCACAAAGGAACGAAACTTCTACTCCGCCAACCAACCCCTGGCTCCCAGCAGGGCTTTGGGCTTTTCTACCCATAGGGATAGTGTTTGAAATCTCTGTTTCAGTTTTAGGGTGTCCCAGAAGCACTGACTCCCAGAACTGGCTATTAGATGTATTCTGTCCCATGACTGCCTCGCTGTGACTGCTGGGAGAGAAGAGAGAACTCAAAGGTCTTCCTAATTCCCTCTCAGCAGACACCCAATCCCCACAGCCGCCCTCCCACCTCCACCCAGAAGAATTTTCTTGGGAGATACTGACTGGACATATGGAGGGGAGTGAAGATGAGGTGAAATGATAATAAGGGAGCAGAGAGCATAGTGTCTGAATGCAGGGGAGAGAGAAGTAGTTAGAGAAGCAAGACAGGATAGGGTCCTTGGAGAAGGGCCATGTACTCCATCCAGAAGGGAACCAGAACTCAGTCACGCTGTCTCACTGCACAATCTAGGGGACACTGTTTGATTTATAGCCTAGGGAATTGGTGCCCCCTGGAGTTGTGCAGTGCCTAGCATTATAGGGCATAGTTGCCTTTGCAGTGTCAGAGGCCAGAATGGCGGCTTGACTTGGACAGTGGGAGTTGGGTTGGTTTAAAGCACACGCCTGAAGACAGTATTAGAACCGGAAGAGAGATTGTCACAAATTGGGGTGAGTCAGGTGTAAATGGACCTGCAGCTCTGGTGTTGGCTTCGGGGAACCTCAAAGCATTACCTTCCTACCTCCCTAATGGGGCAGCCATTTTTAGCTCCAGCAATTGTTTCACCATAACTGATCTTGCCATATCATGCTGTTTTCCAAGACAAGCTAGAAACTCTGATTTTAATTTTAAAAACCTGCTTTTTCACTCTTAGAAATAAGTTTAGTTTTCTTTCTCTCTCCTTTTTTTTTTTTTTTTTTAAGATTCATCTGTTTATTTGAGAGAGAGAGAGTGTGGGGGGAGGGGCAGAAGGAGAACAGGAGAAGCAGACTCCACTAAGCATGGAGCCCGATGTGGGGCTCGATCCCACAACCCCGGGATCATGATCAGGGCTGAAATTAAGAGTCAGATGCTCAACTGAACCACTCAGATGCCCCACAAATTTAATTTTCTCTCATAAATATACCCATGAGCCAAATTAGCCAGTGAACTCCCAATTCACCTCCTAGGGTTTAGCCATGTTACTCCTGTTTAGAATCTGGGTTCATCAACCACGGTACCCATGGAAGATGTGGGCTAGAGAACACATAACAAGAGCTATAAAACAATCACCAAACTGAAATTGCTTCTGCAGACTGAGGGAGCATTGGTCTCCTGGAGAAGATTCTGTCAAAGGGAAAGTAGGATTCTTTTGAAGCCAGTTATCAAAGGAAGGCAGCTGGGGCATGCTTGTTGAGAGTCCTTTTTGCTGGCAGTAGAGTGTCCCTGGTTGAGCCTTGAGGTTTAGTTATGAAGGGCATTCTAGTCGTGGACATCGCATGTGCAGGAAATCACATGCTCAGCTTCTCACCTTCTAGATAGTTCCTAAGCTTGAATTTTTTTTCCCTCCACTAGATATTCCTGGTTCGTAAATCCACCAAAATGCAGAAGAAGGTTCTCTCCCTTCGCCTACCCTGTGAATTTGGAGCCCCTCTCAAGGAATTTGCCATAAAGGAAAGCACGTACAGTAAGTGGTCACTGGATGGCGAAGTCCTGGTTGATGGGAGGGCCTCTGGTCACCCAAGCAAGTGGAATTGGACAGAGCTTGCCCTTCAAGACAGACAGACATGAATCTGAGTCCTGGCACAGTTACTACTTCACTCGGTGACTGGGCAGGTAACCTACCCAAGGAGCCTTGGTTTTCTTGTCAGGATAATGGGGTGATGGCAGCATCAGGGAGCTGTTAATGGTTTAAGTAAACAGCCTGTGTGCAGCCCACTGCTTGGCACATGGCAGGTTGGCTTTCTTGCCCCTCCCCAGTTAAGTAGAGCATGGATTTGGTTCTTAGGTTTACTGATGACTAACCCACAGGACAAGCTGTAGCAATTGGGCCTTTTTATGGGATGGCATGCGAAGGCATGTGTCTGCACATCTTTGTGAATTACCCTTGAGTGGACATATTCCCTCCAGACAATCACTGTTCAGTTGTCTATTAAATGCCCCTCATCAGAGGCAGAATCCAGCCCTCTGAAAAGAAATTAGCCAGCAGAAGTTTTTAAGGGAGAAAGGTGGCTTTGGTTTTCTTTCTGCTATTCAGCAATCCCTGAAAATGTGGTCTCAGGAGGCCATGTTTTAAATACAAAAGGGAACACATAGTGCTGATGTATTGGCAGCTTCCGGGAAGGGATCTGCTGTGACTCTGTGCCCCAAAGGGGAAGGCTTCATCGGAGCAGGAGATGAACCATGAGAGACCATGGACTCCGAGAAACAAACCGAGGGTTTTAGAGAGGAGAGGGGTGAGGAGATGAGTTGGCTCAGTGATGGGTATTAAGGAGGGCACGTATCACGTGGAGCACTGGGTGTTACACACAAACAATGAATCATGGAACACTCCATCAAAAACTAATGATGTACTGTATGGTGACTAATGTAACATAATAAAAACAAAGAAAGAAAGAAAGCATGGGTTAACAAGCTGAGACGGGAAGGCCAGGAGTGGTGAGTTTGGAAGCCCAGCGACTCTCTCTATAGCAAGACTGAGGCCACGATGTTCTCTTGCTCCCCAGTTTCCACCTAAGCAAGCCTCAGTCCCCACTTTTGAAGAAAGTGAAGGTTCTGAGGTCAGTTGAAGAGCAGGGAAGGAATTATACTCAGCCTGGAGTTCATGGTCTCCTCTAGACTCCTGAACCTTCATGGAGTTTAGAGGAGACATTTCCAGCAGAAGTGAAACCTGTCAGCCTCTTTGAGGTCAGCCTCAGGTTCAGCTGTCAACCTGGACCTTGTGATGTGTTCCCTCCAGGTTTCACAAGGTTACTGATGCCCAGGAAAACCTCCACGAGCGGTCAGTGACCCTGGTGTGTGGCTCATACCAGTGAATTTACATGAGGAGGTAATCACAAGATAGATTGCAAACCCTCCATTCTAAAGACAATGGATAAAAATTTAAGTGAGGAAAGTCAACACTGCAGTAGCTTTTGGAAGTTGGCTAGCCAAGAAGTGATAGATCTAACTGGTTTTTACATCCCTTCTCATATCCAGAGTGAAGCGTGGTAAGTTAGTCTGGAAACCCCCTTCTAGCCCCCCTACAGTAAGTACAGTTAGTGTTTGCACTTTAAAGCTTTCTTGGTGTTCATCTTAGCTGCCTCCTGGCTAAAGATTTTTCCTCCGTATTGTGTCAAGATTTGTATCAGTTCCCTCTTCCCATCCAGAGGACTTACCATGGTTGAAAAAGTTGGTCTGAGCAAAGCATTCCCTTGTGACTAGTTACCACAGGTCTTGGTCCCACCATGATGGCCCTTCCTGGCCAGGGCCTAGCTTCTGTGCGAATGGAGGTGGATTGAGAAAGGAAGGACTTGATAGAAACACAGATACCTTGTCATAACATCTGGACAATATGGTTTAATAGTAAAGACCAGCTCATATTTGTATAGACTGCTTTCACATGAATCACCCCATTCTTAAGTTAATTTAATTGTATTTTACTTTTTTAGGTAATAAACAGATTTTACTTGCCTAAATGGTATTATGGCAAAAGGAACACCACATGAGTACGATACTGTAGTTCTAAAAGTGGCCTCCCACAGGGAAACAGGTTAACAATTCGGATGCCACTATACATGGATACCGGACTTGAACAATGAAGTAAATGATGGCGGATGGTGGGAGCCATGTTTTTCACTGTTGGAGGGGGAGGTTATAGACTCGAATGATCCATGTGGTAAGGATTAGTGTTGGAGACATCAGTAAGAACTCATTTTTCTCTTGATATCGATACAGACGGCTACATGCAGGGAATATCAGTAGTCAAATGTATTTATATAGGTTAGTACACTCATGTATTTCTTTGGTCTGTCAGCTGAGAGAATGACACCTAGGAGAAAGTAGCAACCAGCACACCTAATGCCCAGATCTTGGTGTTTGTTTACTTTTTTTTTTTAATTAAATTTGTCTTGGTTAACACACAGTGTAATATTGGTTTCTGGAGTAGAATTTAGTGATTCATCACTTACATACAATTACTCCATGTTTTAAAATGTCAGTTTCCACTCCTGCCTTTCTGAGAGAGAGGGAAAGTGCTATTCTTGTCCATTGTTCAGATGAGAAAACCAAGGCTCGGAGAGGTTAACCTACCCCCACGTCGGCTTCCCCCTACTTAATTAGTTAAATTGTGGTGCACGTGCGTGTTTCTGTTTCTGTCTGTCTGTCATGGTGCATGTGTAGAGGCATAGGTGTGTTTGGGGTGCTGTAGAGATACTAAATAAGCAATAAAACAACATATGCAGATAATAAACAATGTAAGTGATGATTCGGAGTGTCATAAGAGGGAGAAAAACTGATTGAGAAACCGAGGAGATCTTCACAAGGCTGAGGCTATTTGGGACGTTTTCGGAAGGATGACTGCCTGAGTGGCATTTTGGCAGACACGGCATGAGGAGTGGTTGGCCAATATGTAAGTATCTAAAGTCAAACCCTCACTGTCCTGCCGTTGGGAACATGTGCAGGATGGTTCACTGTCTTGCCAGCTCATGGTTGCTGGGAAGCTTGTGTACTTAGTGGTGGCAGGTAGGGGCACTCAAAGTAAATGGGTTTTAGAATCCTCCCTGCTGAATTTACCCCAGAGCTAACTTACTAGAACCTTGTGTTTTTCTCCACGCTTTGTACTCCTTTGGCTTTGTGTCTTAACCAGAGGTGGCCTATTTTGGAAAAGAGGAATGTGACCCAGTAGGTTTACCGATCTACCCAAAGAGGGTCAAGGGCAGCGGGGGCTTCGGTGTTTCTCCAGCACTGTTGTATGCTCATGGCCTTGCAGCCTGGCCTGACCAGCCCCTTGCCCCTTCCCCAACTTCGTGTTTGAATTTTTTTTTTAAGATTTTATTTTTTTATTTGACACAGAGAACACAAGCAGGAGGAGCAGCAGGCAGAGGGAGAGAGAGAAGCAGACTCCCTGCTGAGCAGGGAGCCCAATGTGGGACTCAACCTCAGAACCCTAGAATCATGACCTGAGCTAAAGGCAGATGCTCAATGGACTGAGCCACCCAAGTACCTCATGTGTTTAAATTAAAAAAAAAAAAAAAAAAAAAAGATAGTTGTGCAATTTGTGCCTGTGCTGGTCTGTTTACCAAGCACTAGAGCATGAGTCAGGGCCTGGACTTATGGGCCATGGACTCTACTGGTCTGTTTCTGGGTGACACACATCCTCGCCGCAGCTGGTTCTGATAAGCTGCACAGCAGCTGGTTTGAGAGCACAGAGAGGGTCCTACACATGCAGCAAACAACAGCAGAGGACCTTTCCTTTCCCAAAACAATTCTCCGGGACACTCAGCTGGTTTCTGAAATCTTCTCTTTTGCAGCCTTTTCCCTGGAAGGCTCAGGAATCAGTTTTGCGGATTTATTCCGGCTCATTGCTTTCTACTGCATCAGCAGGTAAGACTCTACACCTCTTACGATCTCAAGCACCTGCTTGGTGCATGCCGTGTAAATGGCCTCAGGGTTTCTGGATGAAAGCTGGGCAGAGGGGTCTGGAAGATGTCCCTGGAGGGATTGATTATGAATTAAAACAGTCACCAAGTCCCCTCTGCCAGGTAGTGTCAAAATACTATGCTGGCCCATTCAAATTAATATGCCCATGTCTTCAAGCTATGCCCTTGACTTCTTTCACCTAGACCTGTCAGGCAGGAAAACAGACACACGTGTACACATATGTGCACACAGGCACACACATAAAGGGACCCACGATGAAGACCCCTAACATTTAAAGGTCCCTGATAATGTTTCTGCAAACTCTCCAAGGGATGCTGGAAATATGGGCTCCGTAAACCATCCCATAATCTTGCATCACTGTTCTCCAGGCCCACTCAGTGCTCATGCCCTCATGCAACTGTGTTAGACTACAAGTAGTTCGGCCCCAAATCCCCACGTTAGTGTGGAGAATCTGTGAGTCGTTGAAGGTGCTCCCTGTTTCTTTCCTTTCTAGCCATCATAGTTTTTCAAGTGGAGTGTTCTTTTGATGACTCAGAATCCATAGTCTTCATCTGCAGAGACCGACATGACCTCCACGCAGGCCCCCTTGGCTTCTCTGTATGCCTGTTGCAGCCATAGAGCACAGACAGGCATACATGCCTGGGGTCTTTCCAAAGATCATGTCTCCCAGCCATCCCAGTCTGATGTGGAAAAGCTTGTTTGAGGTTCCTTTCCTTGATATTAATTTAAGGGTCGAGTCCATTCTCAAAGACGGAGTTAGATGTTTGTCGTACCTGTTGGTCTAGACCCTCCCAGGGGAAGGCACTGAGCAGTTGACCACTAGACGTCACCAAGCAGGTAAAGCCACACCGTCAATGGCCTGAGGGTGGGGAGGAACTTACAGTGGGGACCTGCAGGGCTGATCACCCAGGGGAGGAAGCCAAGGAGTTGGACCCAGTGGGCAAGAGCTCTTGCTCTTGTGTAAGGGTGAATATCTCCTGCCCAGAAAGAAGAAGAAGCCAGTGCAGGAGCCCCCACTGGCTCCAGGAATCCACACCTGCTCTGGTTGGAGGCCAACCAGCTCCCGAAAGTGAATTTCGACACTAGCATGTTGATTGGAGGTGGAGTTGGCTTACTCTGCAGAATTGGTTTTTGACTGTCCTGTTGTGAAAAATCGTTACACCTATAACATAGTATTTGGCAACAGCGTACGAAAGATACCATCTCTCCCCTAAGTATTCATAAGAGGCTGGTTAACCTGACGTCCAGGGCTCTTTGATGGTTGAAGGAGATAAAGCACAGGAAAGCCTTCCCTACACTACAAAGCATGGTCCCAATATAAGATGCTGATGGAAAAATCCCCACATTGATATTTTGTGATCAGAGAGCCCTGAGATTCGTTTTCCTATTTTTTCCCCCTCCAAATGCAAAAGGCAAAAGTTCTTCATGTTTTTGTTTCTCCTCCAATGCTTTACATTACTCGTTTACCTGAATCAGTGTTCTTAGGCAACAGTACCTGATTTGACCCAGTCTGACCGCAATATTTTCGAAATGCTCTAGTTGGTTACTGGTACGTAAATGTATTCACATAGAGAACGTGATTGGGCTGTCAGCCCTGGTGTCCCCCAGCCCCCCGGAATGCATATGCACAGGTGCACTAGGCTAGAGAATTCATGAATCAGTCGGCATGTGACTGGTCACATCAGGAAGGTAGCTGAAGAGTTCGGCTGAGGACACAAATGAGATGCAGACCTTGGCCACGAATGCCTGGGAGCTCGCTGTCAGTTCAGCAACCTTAGTGTCATGGAGAGCGCTGCCCCACAAAGATTTATGCACACTAGAGTCACCTGGAATCTTGTTAGAATGCAGATTCCCATTCAGGGGGTCCAGAGCAGCGTTGGCGAGTCTGCATTTCCAACAGTCTCCTGGGTCACGAGGCCAATGCTGCTGGTTCTGCAATTACACTTCGAGTCACAAAGAGCTAGAGGAAATAATAGTTCTTAATTATCATTGATTAAGGTTAATGGTATTTTCAGGGGCTTTCTATATAGGTGCTAGGCACCATATTTATATAATTTCTAATCCTCATGGCAACTCTGAAATTAGGATCGTGAAGACACCATGGCTCAGAGAGTGGGACACTTACCACACTTGTTCAATTAATATGTGGCAGAAATTGGATTTAAACCCAGTCCTGCCATGATGCCAGAGCTCATATCTTGCCACTGTACAGCACCCCTCCATGGACCTTGGGGTCCAGTGTAATTGGGTTCCTGGCCCCACTTAATTCCACATCAGCTCTGTGGGTGGCTACAGAGACCTCTGCATCTATGCCATCCTGTGCTCCTGACCCACAGAATGCAGGACCTCAGAGCTTCTTCCTAGGGGCCTGGGTGGGTACAATGTGAGTTATAGTGCTTGGCACAGTAGTAAGTACTCAAGAGTTAGTTCTCTTCCGCTTTAGAAACATGACATACAGAGGTTTAGAAACAAGACATACAAAGGTTCAAAAGTAAATTCTGTGTGTCCTAAAACTCTTGAGTGAAACATTTATACCTAAGCTGGCTTTATTTTGTCTGTTACATAGGTTTTAGAATCAGGGCTCCTTTTTTTAACAGGATAAAGAGAGAGGGAAGTGACTCTGTGTGTGCGTATGTGTGTGTGTGTGTATGTGTGTGTGTGAGAGAGAGAGAGAGAGAGAGAGGAGATGCTATCTTGTGCCCTGGAAAAGGACTCACAGGCAACATCTAATGTTTCAGTAGATCAAAGCTGAAAAACACCCATTAGTGAAATACAGGTGTGGTTTCCTGTCATACGTGCCCTTAAGAAAAACCAGCCATGTGACGTTTAGGCTCCAGGTACTGCGCTGGGCAAGATAAAGGCCTAAAATAAACAGAGGTTGGTTTTGTCCTATGTGGCTTTCCCCCAAATTGTCTAAAGAAGGAAGATTTTAATTAAGTTTTTGCAGCCGTAGAAACATATATTTATATGATGCTCTGGTGTTACAAAGTTCTGCTTCCCATTAATCTTCCTTTGAGATTATAATCTGAGTCATTGCCTCTCCCCGGTCAGGCAGCAACTATTACAGACGCTGCCATCCCCCCCAAGGCTCCGCCTGCTTCATCCAGAAAGGATGCAAGAGGACAAGAAGAAGCAGGTGCTCACACCATTTGGAGGGAGACAAAAGGGTCCCTGGAAACAGGGGGTGACCCAGGCTTGACAGCTCAGGAAAGAGCTGCCTCCTGACTGCCACCCCCTAATATTTATGTGAATGCTATATTGGAGGCAATGCGATAAATGACATTGTGTTCGTGTTTTGCTCTTTTCATTGACCTTACTAATTTGTTATTCATTGTCAACAGCTTCAGGGGTTCCAGAATTCTCTAGTCATCCACATTTAATCTGATTCAGTTTAGAATGTTGCCTAATCTTACTGTAAACAAGTTGTTTGGGATAGTTATTCTCTTCAGTGGAGGTTTTCACAGTCTCTTGTGTAGACAAAATACAGGTGGAAGCTCTACATTTTGTCCCTCACTTACTGCACCTCAGCCATGATGGCCTCCTTGCTGTTCTTCATATATACCAGACCCTCTCCCACCACAAGGCCTTTGCACCTGCTGCTTCCTATGCCTAAGAAGTTTTTTCTTTCATGGTTTGTACCCTGATCCATTTAAATCTTCACTCAAATGCTACCTGTTCATGGGGCCCTCTCTGGCCAACTGTCACTCTTGAATACTCTTTGTTATTCCCCTTTTGCACATATATTAAAATCTGTGGCACACATCCCTTTCTCCTGTTCTATAAACTGCATATTTGTTCATTGTCTTTTGGTGTTCACTGGAGTGACACTCCGTGTAGGCAGGCAGGGTCTTTTGTCTGTTATCAGCACCTACAACAGCGTCTGGCACATCATAGATGATCATAAACATTTGTTGAGTGAATGAGTAAATTCCTTTTTTTAAAAAAGATTATTTATTTATTTGAGAGAGAGCATGAGCAGAGGGAGGGGCAGAAGGAGAGGGAGAGAGAGCCCACAAGCAGACTCCCCACTGAGTGCAGAGCCTGATGCAGGGATTGATCCCAAGACCCTGAGGTCATGACCTGAGCCAAGAGTCCAATGCTGAACCAACTGAACTACCCAGGTGCCCCCAAGTTCTTTTTTTGTAAGACCAATACCACCACTGAAACAAATAATTTCTTTTTGGATAAGTCACCATTGTTATTGCATATTCATTCATTCATTTATTCAAAACAGGCTTTCTCCCTGTCATTATCAGGCATGGCATTGTATGAGCCCTGGGGTGTGGGGAGCCACCAATGCTACCCACTTGTATATTAAAATGAGCAGATGTTTGTTAGGTTTGCTTTTGCCCTTTCAGAGAAAGAAAGAGTTCGTGGTCCATGCATGTACTCGTGGTGGCACTATTTGCTGGCCGTGGAAGGACCCTTGTGCCAGCTCAGTTCAGCTTCTTCCTATTGAGCCTGTTGGTCTATGATGTTGGGTGCTTGTGTTTGCTGGTGCACACATGGTGCCATGCTGCTTGGGGCCAGGGTTGTTGCATGAAGTCCTTTCCATTTGCCTCCCTCCTCAGAGCGTGGTGCAGGGGTGGCAGCAGCAGCAACACCGGCGGTGAGCATGCCAGAAATGCCAGATCTCCAGCCTCACTCAGACCTCCTGAATCAGAGCGTGTAGTAAAACAAGACTCCCAGGGATTCATGTGTACATTACAGATAGAGAAGCTTTACCTTAAAACAGGAGGAAGTTTTGTATCCAGCATACAACCCCCAATGCGTGGGCTCTAGCTGCAAGATGTCAGAGTAAAACTGACAGATAGTGGTGGAGAATCTGCCGTGTGTAAGGACATGAGATCATAAACCTCAGTTTAAGATTACACAGTCCTGCTCAATGAGTTGGGGCCAATGTTCAGAACATGTGGCAAATTAGTACATAATGTTTTATGTATATATATGTAAGATCCACCAACATAGGGATTCTCATATTAATACTAGATACACGTCAGCTACCCCATGGAGGAAATTTTGTCCTCATTACAGATACCAAACCAGTCAGCCCCTCTCTCAGTCTGTCCCCAGTGTCACTAGAGGCAAGAATAGTAATCTTGCAGTTCCGTCCCCAGTAAAGACAAGGTCTGGTTAGGTATGATATAGTGTCTCCTTAGGACATTGCAATCGAAGCTAAAACATCTCTAGGATGAAATGCAAATAAGAGACAGAAACAAGACACATAATTATAAATATTCTCTTTTTTGAAAAATCAGGGACGTTCTGCCGTTTACCTTGAAGTTGCCTTATGCCATTTCAACAGCCATGACTGAGGCTCGGCTTGAAGAACTAGCCCAGCTGGGACTAAGTAAGTGGATGCCTCTGCCCAGTTCTCTCCTGAAATGATCTGTGGAGCAGAGCTAATGTTGGCTGGTGATATACTGTTCCATCAAAAAATAATCCCCATCTCCGTGGCAAAACTTGCTCACAGGGCCGTGAGGTCCCAGAATCGCATGTACTAAGAGTCTTTTTTCTAAGTCAGACACTGAACTGACTCTCAGAGGCAAGCCCTCTGTTGGCCTGGGAAACCCCGACATCTCTGAGTGTCTCCCGTCAATGAATTGAAGCTACCCTAAAAGTCCACGTCCTGATGGAACACAAACTTCTGTAATGGGTCCTATCTTTCCTTTCTGCGGTGTCTTACTGGAGAAAGGCAGTGCTTGGCAGAAAGGGAAACAGCACAGCACATCTCACGTGCATGCGTTTTGTTCTAGAAGAACACATGGGCATTGACGGCACTTCTGTGCTTTGGGGAATTTGACCATGTAGGCATCTCAAGTAACATCTGTCTCACTTCCTCTGTGGTTGTTCAGTGTCAGTCCTGGTGTCCTGGGCCGTGTCCCCTATCCTGCCATGCATCCTCACTCTGACCAGCTGGGCACTGGCTTCCCTCTCCCGCCCCTTTGCCAACGCCCCTAAATGCAACACCATGCTTTTGGACATTGGTTGACAATGGATCAGGACATACAGTTCACCCAATTTCACTTCCTTGTCCCATTGCCCTGAGGAATTTGTGTGGGTTTAACTTTGGGGGGAGGGGAAGCTTTTCCCCCAGATTGGAAGGGGAGATTCTCTTTAGATTTTTAGGGCTTCAGTCTTCTAAAAGATTAACAACCAGGCCATAGTATTGGAATGGAAATTTGAGATGCTGAAATGCAAGTACCAGGGCTCCTAGCACCTATAAGAAGCCTAGGGACAGATTCAGACTCTTTCTCAAGCTACAATTGCTTCAAAAGAATGGCTCCATCTGTCTGAGACCTGTCTGATGGGTAATTAGGTAGTGGGATTGGGAAACTGATTCCTGGTAAAAATACTAGGGTAGGATAAATGTCCCTGCTAAAAAGCTATGCCATCTCTTGCACTGGAGTTTCAGACACCTTTGGAGAGAGTTTAAGACATTTCCCGAATTTAAGTGAATATAACCAACTAGATCGCTGGCCTCTTGAAGACCAGCACCAGGTCTGTTTTCACAGCCGACCTCCAGCCACAGAACTCCCGGTTCTGTGGTCAGTGGGCAGTGCCTGCTTCATGCCGGGGCTGAAGGACTGAAGGTCAGTGTATGTGTCCTGAGGAGATAAACACAAAAATACCTTGTCCTAGTGGCCACTGACCAGAAGCAAATGAGGCCCAATTAATACATACCCAGCTTGTAATTTTCAGTGTACACATTATTCATTTTGTGAAGAGACAGCGCTTTCTACAACTCTGTTCTTCATTTATTTGTCCTTCCAACAAACGTTTCTAGAGGTCTGCTATGTGATAGGCCCCACACCAAGGGGTCAAAGTTAATAGCGTCCATCCCTTCCCCTCCCATAATCCATATGGGAGGAAACACATTCGTGGGAGCTATATGTACTAAGCCTTATAAAGTCTAGGACTGGCGGCAGCACTAAGACCCAAAGGTGGTAAGAGCCATTCCACTAAGACCTACACTGGGCAAGAGAAATGCATATAACGCAAGCCAGTGTGTAATTTTAAATTTTCTGGTAGTCCCATTAAAGAAAATTTAAAAAGCACAGGTGAAATTAATTTTTATGATTTATTTTATTTTTTGTACTAGATCTGAAATATTTCGACATGGAAGCAATGTTTTTAAAATTATTGATGCAATAAAAGCAATACTTCAAAGGCATTAATGAGATATTTTACATTCTTTTTTTTTCCACACTAAGTGTTGGAATCCAGCATGTGTTTTATTCTTACAGCACATCTCTCTAGGGCATTAAATTTTCATCAGAAACACGTGAACTGTATTCAGATTTCATTAAATTTACAGTTGAAAAACTACATTCACGTAACGTACCCTAGTTCCGAAACTACTTCAACGTTTGCCAGTAATCGAACTGCATGCCTGTTTTTTAAATTTAATTGATTGACATGAAGTGAAATTTAAAATTGAATGCCTCTGTGGCAGTGGCTCTTGGTTGGACAGCACAGAGCCAGAGAGAAGGAAAGGAAGCGCAAGAGGAAGCAGGTGACACTCTCAGGTGTGTTTACAACACAGAGAGGACAGGACAAAGGGCTCCCAGTGAGAGCCTCCCCGCTGTCCCCCATGGTCAGCCATTTTGGGCCCATAGGAAAGAAACACATTTTAGGCAACCACAACAAGGCAAAGCTGTAGAGAGAGAATAAACCTAATCCGAATGGAAATCACAACAGACGACAGTTATCACCATCTCCGTCTCCCACGATTTGCGTGGAAACCTGAGCCCCATATGTAAGTGACCTGGGGCCGTTTAGCTACAGTAAGCAATGTGCACTGCTCCAAAGAGTGTTGAGTGCATGTAGCCATAGTGGTAAGGAGGGCTTGGATTTAGGGAGTGTGGGCAGCTAACCACGAAGATAAAGATAAAGGGTTGAACTTGCACTTAGCGTTTGCATAGGTCTGCTGTCCTTTTTTTCTGCTGATGGGTTCCATGTGCGTATTTTTCCTCCTTTTAGGGTTTTAATGCTGAACATGTAAAACCCCAAGCAGATTGTGTAACATCCCCAGGCCCAGCTGCTGGTCCGGCCCATTAAAGGGGAACTGCCAGGTCCTCCGGAGGGCATCTCCAGGAGAAGTGGCTTGGAAAGGGTGGCTTGCTCTGCGAGTAAGCTCAGTTTTTGTAAAGCAAGTTGGGGAGCTCCATGGCCTTCTCCAGCCTTATCCTGTAACAATTCAGTCCTTTCCTCACCTGTGCAAAGGCTGGGCTGGCTTTGTATGTTGGCCAAGCTGTTTCTCAAGGGCTTTGAAGGTGAAAAGCCCCTGGAGCCTTCCTGGGAGCCCACAGCTGGGCCTGGCACCACTTCTACCCTTTCCAGTAAGGGAATGCTGTTAAAACAAAAAAGAAAAAAAAAAAAAAAGAAAAAACACCCAAGTGTGGCGCCTCCCCCTTCAAAGACGTGTGTTGTGATGCAAGTGTGTTTTTTTTTAATTTGTGAAGGAATGGCCCGAGAGTACTGTATTTACATTCTTGTGTTCACTGATAATGACTTTCAGATTTTTGGAGCTCTCCAGCTGACAACAAACCCCCAAACCCTCCACCTCCCCATAGGCCTCTCTCCTCAGACGGTGTTTGTCCTGCCTCTCGTCAGCTCTGCCTTATAAATGGAGTGCATTCTATAAAAACCAGGACGCCTTCGGAGCTGGAGTGCAGCCAGACCAACGGAGCCCTGTGTTTTATTAATCCTCTTTTCTTGAAAGTGCACAGCCAGGACCTCAGTGGAGGCCTGAAACGGCCCTGCACCAGGACTCCCAACGCGAATGGCACCGAGAGGCCTCGGTCCCCCCCACCCAGGCCCCCGCCACCCGCTATTAATAGTCTCCACACAAGCCCTCAGCTGTCCAGGACCGAAGCCCAGGCGAGCATGCCAGAAACAGTCAACCATAACAAACATGGGAACGTAGCTCTGCTTGGAACGAAACCAACCCCCATCCCTCCACCCCGGCTGAAGAAGCAGGCTTCTTTTCTAGAGGCGGAAGGCAGCGCAAAGACCTTGACCGGTGGCCGGCCTCGTCCCGGCCAGGAACGGGAGCCGGAGGAGCCGGAGGAGCCGGAGCCCCGCACAGCTGGCAGGCCAGGTGGGGCCCCGCCTGCGGAGGCCCCGGGGGATTGCACAAGGGCCGTCGGCCCTGAATCACGGCCCCCGTGGCATGGAGGCAGACAGAGGCTGAGCGACATGAGCATTTCCACTTCCTCCTCCGACTCGCTGGAGTTCGACCGCAGCATGCCCCTGTTCGGCTATGAGGCGGACACCAACAGCAGCCTGGAGGACTGCGAAGAAGAGAGTGACCAGGAGACCATGGCCCCCCCCATCAAGTCCAAAAAGAAGAGGCACAGCTCCTTCGTGCTGCCCAAGCTCGTCAAGTCCCAGCTGCGCAAGATGAGCGGTGTGTTCAGCTCCTTCATGACGCCCGAAAAGCGCATGGTCAGGAGGATCGCGGAGCTCTCCCGGGACAAGTGCACCTATTTTGGCTGCCTGGTGCAGGACTACGTGAGTTTTCTGCAGGAGAATAAGGAGTGCCATGTGTCGAGCACCGACATGCTGCAGACCATCCGGCAGTTCATGACCCAGGTGAAGAACTATTTGGCTCAGAGCTCAGAGCTGGACCCCCCCATCGAGTCGCTGATCCCCGAAGACCAAATCGGTAAGTCCCCACTTGGCCTTTTTTTTTTTTTTCTTTTTAAACAGAAATTGTCCGGTAACCTTGTAGAACAGTGCATCCCCGTGGCAGGGCTCTTGGCTGAAGTTTCCTCTGGGGTTCAAAACAGCAACATGCTCCATGCCCTCTGCCCACTGGAATGGCACCCTAGCCTCTTAAAGCAGCCTCACCGTAGAGCTGAGTCGCGGGCTTGCGACTGTTTTGGGGAGCTGTGGATGGGAACCCCTGAATGGTTCTGTTCAGGGGTAGAGTGTGCCTTCTGAGGGTCCAGTGACCCACCTGATTTCGGGCTGTGTGTCGGACACAACCGTGGCATGTTGTGTGTCACACAACATGAAAGTGTGTCTCTGCAGGCAGCACCTGAATAGAAAGGGATTTGTGCTGTCTTCTGGGAGGGTGTTTCCCTCTGCTTTCTTTGGAAAGGACTGTTTTCGCTGAGGGAAGGCGTGCGTTTGCAAGGGTGCAGCCGTCACGGCTCTGCCACTGGATGAGTTTCCATAGTGACCACACCTGTGTGACAAGTGACAGCTCAGTAACCAGGACAGCCCCAATTCCGGAAGCCCCCTGGGACCACCACCCTGTCACCCTTTTACTGAAAGGAGAACCGCCCTGCTGGCTTTTGATGCTGTAGAATTCCTTAAGCAACACGGTTTTGGAGTAAGCAAAAAAAAAAAGGAAAAGACAAGTTTATTTTGTGTGCTTTTCAAATAAGTAACATATTTGGAGGTCACATGAAAGGTGTTTTCTCCAAAGTCAAGGGGAAATATTTTCTTTATAACCTCATCGAAGGGCTGATTGTTAATAGTTACTTTGGCCAAGGAAAATTTGAATTTGGCAAGGCGTCTTTTTTTCCAGGACAAGAGAGTTGCAAGGACTTTTCTCTCTCGCTCTCTCTCTCTCTCTCTCTTTTTTTTTTAATATCAGAAGATTGACTCTAAAAGGCTAATTTCAGAAACCTCATTCACTGGGCAGCCACAGCCGAAAGAGCTACCAGATATTTCCAGGCAGTTCATAAAGCTAAACCCACATTTCTTCTTTCTGGTTGAGTCTCTTTGTTGAAAGTAGTAAACAGTATGTGGTAGAGAGTAGTCTCTCTCTCTCTCTCCCTCTCTCCCTCCCTTCCTCTCTCTCTCTCTGTCTCTTTCTCTCTCTCTCTCTCTCTCTGTCTCTTTCTCCTTTAAGTAAGTTTCAGCAGCTCTTTGATTTTCTCACAAAGGAATCAAAGCCTTGTTTGTTTTCTCTTGGTTTGAGCCTGGTTGATGGGGCGGGGTTAGAGTCGGGTGTTGCTGAGGAGAGAAGCTGGAAGGAATGTGCCCTCGTGGTGTGCTTCAAACTGGAAAAGGTTTCTTGGGGAAGGCAGAATAGCCACCCAGGCCATCCTGTCCCCTGTCCCACCGGGAACCCGCCCCTCAGGGGAGACCAGCTCCCATGCCATAGTCACAGGCACACTGAACGGGGGGGAAGAAGCTTCCTCTGGGGGAGTCCTGTGGGGGGAGCCAGGCGGGCACTGATGTCAGCACCAAGCTATGTGGGCCACAGCGCCAACCAGCCCACAAGGACAAGGTTCCCGAGGGAACAGGGGCCTTCCTTCCCTTCCCTACAGAGACTCTGGTAAGCACCCACCAGAGTGCTGTTCCCCGGGAGGCCCTTCTGCCAGCTTCTTTTGAAGGGAAGTTCAGATATGGTACCTGCTCTCAGAGCCCAAGGGCTCATTTTCTCCAAAAACAGGCATACACTTTGCTGCTCTAGAAGGAGGCAGCTTTTAATTTAAAATCTAAGGTCATGACAAGAAGGGATGTTGACATCTTTGGAGCCTCTCCTATGAGCCAGGGTTCTGGCCAAGTGATGTCAGCAGGGCCTGGCCTCACCCCTGTGAAGCAGGCATGGGCATCCCCAGTGGGGTGGGGGACGCAGGGCTTCACCAGGTGGAGCCCTTTGTCCCCAGGCTACACTAGCTAGTAACCAGCAGGTGCAGCATTTGGAAGAGGCAGCTCAGACTACAGTTCTGTAAGGAGGTGTGGGTGTGGCCAACTAAGCATTGCCTCACTTTTTGATTGGCTTGTTTGTTTTGGTTTTTGAAACCTTTGCATGAAAGCAAGTACCTCGTGGCATGTTGCTTCCCCCATGAAAGCATCATTCTGTGTTGAAAGTACAATGAATGGGCTGGGCTTTTGAAATTAAGAGGAAGGTGAACCAGAGCAGAGGTCAACCTGAGAAACTCAACACTTGCCCAACTGGAGAGGAAAGATTATCAGAAAACCAACCCCCTTCAGTGTGTAAGTCACTTGGTTAGGACTCTGACAAAAAACGGGACCTAACCTGATAGTCTTTGACATCCTCGTGAGTGAAGTGCTCACTAGTTTACTCTAGACTGGTTGATACAGTCACTGCTTTGAACCTCATTAACCAACTCAAGGTTGGTACAGTTACATAGATATTATTCATCTTTTTCAAATTCAAGAACAGAGGCCAAGATATAAGAAGTGACTTGTAGAGGGTTTCAGTGCTGATAAGTAGGGGAGCTTGGATTCTACCAAGATCTTTTCTCAATTGTTTGCATATTCCTACCGTATCTCACTTCCCAGAAGGAAGTAATTAACTTTCAATGGATTCACTCTGAATGGATTCACTTTGAATGCCATCTCCAGAATACCAGGCCTCAAGCTGGTTCTGAACAGGTATCTGCTAATGCTCCTTAGTCTGTTCAAGAATGCCAGTCTAGTCCTGTCCTCCATTCCCACAACTTTGGAAGGTGATCGCTCTGAACCAAGAGGTGGGAATTTACATATAAAGCCTGCATTTACAGGATGTCTGTCCTGAAATCAAGGGAGGTGGAGGAGGCATTTCACTGGCTTAACCCACGTAGAATTAGAGCTGTCATTCATACGTGAAAAATGACTGTAGGAACGCATCCGTGTCTACAGTTAGGATCTAGAGGTGGTGCTAATCTGTCTTCTTCAGAGAGTGGTTCTTCGGTTGTCTAGAGAAAAGCCAATGAAACACCAAGCAGCTCTCACTCAGTGCCACTCCATATATCTTGTCACAGCCCTTCTGGCCAGCACTTTCTAGGTGAGTATAAAATGATAAGTAACCAACCTCAAAAATGAAGAAAATGGCCACTCTAAATGGTTGTGTCCTAGTATGGAGAATTTACATTCTGGTTAGTCTGCCCTTTAAAGCACCATCACCAGGAAGCCCTGCCATTTTGAGGGTCTTGAATCAATGTCAGTGGATTGACATCAGCTTCACTCTCCTGGCTGGGAATGAAGCCAATGGGGATAAGACATGGTGAGTTCCCACATGAGTCAAGCCCCCACATGTTGTTTCCCTTCTGGAGAGCTCTCTGCTCACCCTCATTCCCCCGTACCCTACAAAGTGGTACAAGAAAGGACAAACAGATGCTTTTACAAAAACCGTACACAATTTCAGGTCTTGTGAGAAAGTCGTGGGATCGGTAACTTCAACTGCAGCAAGGTATACTCAGGACTGGCCTGTCCTACCCTGTAAAATAGAGACAGGTTGCGACATTTCTCATTTTCCTATCATGTGTGTTCCTCTTGGGTGAGCTTGCCCATCATACCAGTCTTGCTCTGGTCTTTTTTAGCCGATGGGAGATATCAGTTCAAAATTTCTGATCGTGAAACTTCCACTCTGCAGAACTTGTTGCATTTTTGTGGTCAGTGTTTTTTTTTTTTTTTTTTTATTCAAGCAAAAGAATTTTCATTTCTGATCTGACGTTAATCTTGGGAAATCCCCGTTTTCAAGGTTTGTTTCAAGAAAAACAAAATTTCTCCAACTCCAAAAATTTTACTCATCTCAAATTTTCTATTTTGTTTGAACAGCCCACCATGGACTGTCAACAACCATAGGGGGGAAAAAAACCACAAGTATTCGTAGTCCTAAAACGCAGTAGCAAAAAAATCAATACAATAGTGTTCTGCTTTATTTAATTGCTATGTACTAAAACTTGTATTTTCTCTGAAGAACATTTTGATTATTTAAAGAAAACTTATCTTTAAACTCAATTTGTAAATATGTGATTTTTGTTTTTTTAATAGCAAACAATACTGAGAAGTGGTTAGACACCAGAGAGCATAGCATGAATAAGAAAGGGGGTTTGAAGTGACTCCCTAGTAGTTAAACAATTACTACCGCTTTGCTTCCTCAAGCTTCAGTATCCAGTGTGAATTTTTTTTTAATTTGTATTTCACGGTTTCATTCAAGCCCTTGAGTAATTATCTTTTCTTTTTTAGATTAAGGGTCATTCTGAGAGATTTGACCAGAGGAGCATATTGGTGCCAAGATGAGATTAGAACCTTGAGTCTGACTTCTAATCTAGACCATGTGATCATAACACCTGCAAGGAGGGAATTTCCTTGTATAGCTGGCAAAGGGTAGAGAGAAAGGAGAAAAATTGACCTCTTGCAAGATATAAAAAGAATGCTTGTGTTAGTTTTGAAAATTAAAGAGAGGACACCAGCTAGAAGCACCTCTTTTTTTTCCCATAGGGCATCAGTTTGTTGTATAGTTTTTGCCTTGGGACATCAAAAATTGGGTTAATCATAGCAACTAAAAGAAGGGTCACAACTCTGGAGTTAAGGATCTCTGTTAGAAGTCCCCGACTCCATGATACGCTGTGCAAGGAAACGGGTAGCTCAGGAATTCAGAGAAAGAGAGCCCTTGCTAACAAGGTGGGAACTGGGATGGCATCACAAAATAAGGTTTGTGCTAGAGTGTTTTCTGACTACATCCCGAGAATCTTCCATCTCAAGAGAGTCATCAGCACCTGCTGGGCAGGAAACATCATCAGGCAAAAGAGGAATCTGACAGTGATTGAGAGCGTGAGCAAGGGGACATTTGAAAGGATGTGTTTGTTGATTGAAATGGAGGCATCAGCATCTTTAAGAGTCAGACATGTCCACCGCTACCTTACTTCCGCCAACAGAATGGTCCCCGATTGGCTGTCTTATCTATAGACGGAGCCC